GTACAAGCTTTCGGCGCATCGATTTCTCCCGAGAGTTTCTGAAGTGGGGAAAAACAAATATCCTATCTTTCTTAGCTTTGAAAAGGGAAATCCGATATAAAACACAACAATAGGCTCCAAAACAATACCAACACAGAGGTCAAATGATCGCCAGGTTACCATACAGGAGTTTGAATGGCGGACAAAGTGATGATTCTTTGTGTAAAGCAACTTTAGATAACGAAACAAATGTTAAAGTTCAGTATTTATTGCCCACAAAGTTTGAATTACATAATATACTGGCCCTCATTATCTCACAATAAACATTGTTAAATTTTGAAAAAGCAACATTTGGGAAAAGTAATATCTTTGTGCCCTGTTTAGTTTTTACCAAACTGAACTTATGACGTTTGTTTTGACTATAACATAGTGGCTTTTGTTTAAACAGTAAAAACAGCTGTTATTTATGCTACTGTATGTTAAAGAAAATGTCGCAGAACAGTACAATTCTCTGACGGTTTTCTGGCTGGTGTCTCTCTGATGTAACTGCGTGCAAATGAGCTTTTCTCTCTCTGTGGCTTATTCATAGTCTTCATTGGGTCTTCATTGTCGAGAACTAATTCGCTAACTACTGAGTAATATTTTCATTTTGTATTAAGATGACTCTGATTATTAACTTGCATGTTTAACATACACAAATGAGTTTGTGGGCTCGATTTTCGCCGTCTCCGTGTTCCGGTCTTTGATCCTCCCAGAAGGGTTTTTTCGGGGAGCGGGTGTGGGGGTGGGAGCGGTTATCTATCCTAATGAGTTTTTTTTTTGTCTTTTAACCTGGAATGAGACAGAAAACAATCTTGATGGTTCAATTCGGAAAGATACAGGACATTTGTCTGGTTTTCTAAGTCGAGCTATGGTTAACTATAGAAACATAAAAATGAGGGGGGGGGGGGGGGAGTAAATATACCTAATTATATTGGAGAAAAATGTAAAGAGATGACATTTATCAGCAACATTAAAGGAAACTGAATTCGTACCTTAAATCATACCCGGAGTAGAGAAATAAATTCACTTGCTCATGTTTAGGTATCTTGATGAAAGCTTAAGTGTGACCATTCAACTTAAAACTCTTGAAAAGTGCTTTTGCTTTGTTCTAATATTCTTTTCAGTAAGTTACAAAATGAAACGTAAAGTTTGGTATTGTCTTAACGTTTCGATTCTTTATTCGGACCATATGCACTAAAAGTGAAAGCTTATGCGAAAAAAGTTTAGCGCCGCTTTTGACGCCGAATTATTCGCTCTAGACCACTAAACATTTAACAGCTGATTTAAGACTTGTTAGTCGACAGTGAACTTAGCGGAGTTGAGAAGGGTATTTAAAAAATATGTACAAAAGAATTGTAATACAAGACACAGGACTCATTAATTTGAATCACAATCAAATAAAGGCAACTGGGAGAGAACAAGTCTCTTCGGCTAATCACGGCCTCTACGTTGCTACTTTGACTGTTGACGCATGATTTTAAATTAAAAAACATGATTAAATAGTGAATTACAATTAAACCAACTTGAAAATTCTACCATTTCGAGCGATGCTCATTTGGCTCATTTAACCTATCAGAGTCAGTTGCTAAAATCCAATTTTCAGTATTTCGCACCTCGCCGATGTAGCAAAAGCTTATGTGGACGGAAAATGCTTTAGCACTGTTAACCTACCTATTCAAGCTGTTCTGTGGGTTTGTCACCTCTGGGCTCACTGTTGTCAGTCGACGAGCGTAAACTTCTGAAACTTGGTAGATCTAAGTTTTAGAATTTCAACTTGTTCAAATCCAGGTGGATATATTCTTCTACAATATTTATCATTGATGCAGGAGAACAGTTCAAGCTCTTGATCTCTTGATCGTTATACTCTGATCAATACAAGGTATTTTAAACCCTTGAAAGCTGTCCTTTGATGAACCGCCGCAATTCATCGATTTAAGGAGTTTCGTTATTCAAATGCAAGGTACGTACTCAACCCGGTACTCAACATACCGTCCTTTGATAAACCGCCCCAATTCATCGAAGGAGTGATAATCTTTCGTAGGAAGTGGGTAATACGTCAGCAAAACTGGGGAATTTGTATTCAAAAAGCAAGGTATGTATTCAGCCCACTCAATAGCCATTATGGCTCTTGACCCAGTGCGTACTCACATAAATTATCAAAGGGGTTCGTGTTATAATGATGGAAATTTTTAATCATCTTAGAACAAGTGCTTTTTTAGACTGGCCCCAGTCGTTGAAAAGTGTAGGGAGGAGAGCTCCCGGGGGGCGGGGGGGGGGTACTCCCATACATTAACTATACGGGTATGTGCCGCCCAAAGGGGTCGTGATTTTGAAGTTCCTGATTTAGAACGGGGTATCCATTTCAGAGGCGTTTTCTAGAACGGGG